ACTTGGTTGCATACTATACCAGTCATCCTGACACACGTTTTACCAGCTTATGATTTCATACCCTCCAGCAACATACCTGCTGGACCTGCCACCTTGACCTGAGCACGTTTCTAACACACTTTTCAATTCCACCAAGATACTGTTAGAGACCCCCAAAATTTTGGATTGATTTTTCTTGGCTAATGCCATAAAAATGGGAAACTTAGTTATGGGCTGGCCTACAGAGATTCCTTGTAATTCTGTGTTCCTCTATTCTACTCTCAGAATAAAATCTTTTCTATGCTGTTTAGGGCTACTTATGCCCTACTCTCTAATCATCTCCATTATCATCACCCCAAAGTTTCCTTAACATGATGCCAAACACCAGAGAGCTGATTGTATTTAAATATGTTAAAATTTTCTGTATGCTGTTTGACACCCTAAAAAAACCATTGTGGCTGGGAGAGACGGCTCTTCCTAGGGCCAGCCAATTCTTAGAGATAGCAAAGGGCGCGGCCAGAGGCATCTTTGATATGCAATTTAACCAGTCCAGCGCTTACTTCCTCTACGGGCTCATACACCCCAGGAGACAATATTCCTCTGCCTTAATCATCCTTGCTCCAGATACTAGGCAACTAGGAATCACCTCTACAACTCCAAACCTATAAAACCTTCCCCTGCCCTTCTCTTGAAACCTGCTATAAAGGCCATGACCTAAATCTTCCCGTCACTCCTGCCTCCTCCCCACTCTGGTGGCTTTGTCATGTGGTCCTGTGTGGAGTGCCACATCTCCTGTCTCTAGAGTGTAATCAAGTTTGGGTCTTTTTTCCCCCTGTGCCTCTCCTGTCTCCCCTTCTGACTGCATCTGACCGGCCAACCCAAAAAAATACAACACACATACCGTACCATCAGCTGGAACATCTTTGAGCCGTGGGCTGCTCTTCGATGAGGGAGTGGTGAGAGTGTCCCCAACGGGCTGTTCAGCCCCCTCTGGCAAGACAGCTACCTCTTGGAGTTGGCTGACCCCCTGGAATCCCTCTCAGGGATTCCTTGATCCTGGATGTAATATTTCCACTCAGTGACAGCACTCTGCTGAGCGGCTCCTATCTTATTAGTAGGGTAAGTGAGTACTCACGTGAGGATGGGTAGCTCAGGTCTTAGGGTCACATACAGTGTTTGGAGTGCTTGGAGTGCTTGGTCACATACAGTGCTCCACTAGGGCCAAAAGTCAGGTAGGGCTACCATCTGAAGGGGGTGTATCTTAGGCATTCACAGGTCCAAAACCCAAGGGACTTATGCACACTGGGAGCAGTCTCTTGTTGCCACAGTCTCCAATCCTCATAGGTAAGTTGCCAAAATGTGTAGCTCGAACGACGGGGCCCACGCCAACGCTCCTAGCACAACCTCTGAGTCTGCTGCTGTTGGGGGCCCCATGCAGAGGTGACCCTGTCTCGCAGGTAACCTTGACATAAGGGATCAAGAGAACACCCAGATTTGGCACATGTTGCCTCCAACAGTCAAACAGGCCTACCAGCTATGGAAGTTCTTTCTTGATGGAGGGGACCGCCAACGACAGCGGTTTTTGTTAGACTGTACTGGGAATCCTCCTCTGATTACTGGCCCAGGTGTCCCCCAGGAACTGCACTTTTGAGCAGGTCCCTGCATTTCACCAGGGTTGTCAGCCCTTCCTGTGTGCCATAGCATCGGTGACCTTATGCAGGGACTGGTCAACTAGTTTGTTGGTCAGGCCAGCAATGAGGATGTTATCAACACAGTGCATGACAAGCAAGGCTGGGAGCGCCTGGGTTTGCTGCAGACCTAGTCCTACCACTGGTGGTACACTGCAGGGGAGCTGAGGGGTTGCTGTGGACTGAATCGCGCCCTACCCCCACAATTAACATGTTCAATGAAGACTTCACCTCCAATATGACTGCATCTCAAGTTCTAAAATGAGAAATGAAGACAGGGTGTGAAAGTGTGCTTATTCTTCAGGACGGGGGAACAATAACCCCAAAGGTGATTCAGAGGTCACTGGTTTCAGACAGACCAAACAGCTTCCACAGAAGCCAAGGGGGCTGAGCCACCTAGAACCTTGGGAGAAAGACTCCCTCAGAGTTCTGATAAGCCAGTGGGTCCAGAAGGTGGGACCATCACCCCAGTGATCCTGGACAGCAGAGGACTGAACCAAAAAGAATTATTCTTGAGCCTTAAGATCTCATGTAATTTGCCTTGCTAAGTTTTGGACTTGCTCAGGACCTAGCATCCTTTCTTCCTTCTGATTTCTCCTTTTCAGAATTGAAATAGGAGATAAAAATATATACTGGTCTCTGCCCCTAGTTCCTGGCACAGAGCCCCTGAAATCCTTATAATTTCCTAAGTGATAAGAGCACCACAAGCATCTTTTGTTCTAATATTTGGTCTTTGACCCTGGTTCTTGACACAGGGCTTCTGAAACCTTTGTAATGTCCTAGGTGATAGGAGCATCTCTTGATAAAGAAGGGCTGGGAACGGACTTAATGACTGACCATGCCTACATGATGAAGCCTCCATAGAAATCCCAATAGTATGGGGTTTTGAGAGCTCCCCAGAGGGTGACGCATCCCAACTCCACAGGGACAGGAGCTCCTGTGCTCAGGACGCTCCCAGACCTTGCCCTATGTATCTCTTCATCTGGTTGTTCATTTATATCCTTTATCACATCCCTTTATAATAAACCGGTAAATAGAAGTGAACTGTTCTCCTGAGTTCTGTGAGCCACTCTAGCAAATTAAACCCAAAGAGGGGGTTGTTGGAACCTCTGACCTATAGCTGGTTGTCAGCAGCACAGGTGATAACCTGGGCTTGGAACTGGTGCCTAAAGTTGGCAGGGGGCAGTGGGGTGAGGTGTGTGTGCGAAGCTTGTGAGTCTAAGCCCTTAACCTGTGCAATCTGACACTATCTCCACGTAATGTCAGAATTGAGTTAAACTATAGGACACCTGGCTGGTGTTGCAGAGAATTGGTGTTGGGGGGAAAAACCCACATATTTGGTGACCAAAAGCTTCAGAAGTTAAATGTTCTGTGTGAGTTGTAAAGGAGACACAGGAGAGAAAGACAGGAGGGAAGAACTGTAGGTTTTTTCCAACATAGAATGTCTATCCTGTAACTGTCCCAGTTTTGTATTTTGGAAGCACACAATTCCTCTGGTTTCATAGGTTCACAGCTGGAGAAGAACCTTGCTTCAGGATGAAATGTAGTTCCAGTCTCACCCCTATGTGACTTAGATGATATTTAGATGAGATTTTGGACTTCAGATTTTAGAGTTAATGCTGAACCGAGGTTAAGACTCTGGGGCTGTTGGGATGGAATTAACTTATTTTGAAAATGAGAAGGCCATGAATTTGAGGGAACCAGAGGCAGAATTTATGGACTGAATGTTTGCCTCCTTGAAATTGATGTGTTAAAGCCCTAATCCCTAGGGTGATGGTATGCAGAGATGGGCCTTTGGGAAGTAACTGGGGTGAGATGAGTTTATGTGGGTGGGGCACTCATGATAGAATCAATGTCCTATTAGAAAAGGAAGAGACAGAGAGCTGCTCTCTTTCTTCACAATGTGAGGATAAAGCAAGAAAGCAGCTGTCTCAGCCTTCAGAATTGTGAGGAATAAACATGTCATTTAAGCCACCCAGCCTGTATTTTGTTAGAGCAAACCAAATGAAGACAGTTGCTAAAGATATGTCCCTCTCAATCCCCTTCCTCCCAAAAAGGGATCAGGCCCAGTTATGTGTATGCTTCAAAGAAAAATTCCCACATTATGCAAACTTTTCCAGGTAATAAAAGAGAAAAGTTCCAAATTCATTTGGCAAAGCAAACTGAATCTAGTCCTGTACTTTAAAAATAAAAGCACCATGAATAAAGAGATTTTATTTTAGGAACGGAAGGGAAAAAAAGTCAATTATTTGGAAATTTGCCAACAAAATCGATCACAAAAAGAATAAAGGACGTGACCCATAAAATCACACCAACAGATTTTTTTTTTAAATTTGGATAGAACTTAGCATCCATTCCTAATATAAACTTAAGTATAAAGTATAATAATAATCTGCTATAGTATATACTATGCCAAGCACTGTTTCAAGTGCCTCACACTTATGAATTAATTTTACCCTCATGGCCCTATGAGGTAGCTAGCTCCATTTTACACTTGGAAGACAAAAGGAAGCTAAGTGACTTTCCCAGGATCAAACACCTAAAGGAAGTGGTGGAGGCAGGATTCGAACCAAGGGTATCAGGCACAAAATCTGTGCTCTTAACCACTGTAACATGTTGCTTCTTCTAAAATAGGAATAGAAGAAAACTTCCTAAACACAGTAGAATATTTATCAGAAACAATGAGGGTGAACCCCATATAAAAATGAAATGCTAAACGCATTTCTCTTGAAAGTTAGGAACAAGGCATGGAATGCATGTTAACCACTATTTAACTTTTTTTTTTTAAGTATCTGAGCTAATGCATGACATAAGTGACACACAGATTGGAAATTAAGAGCGCGCTAGTCATTATTTATTATATACCTAGAAAAGCTAGGAAATGAAACTAAAAAAAAAACTCTTAAAAAATAATGCAGCAAGGTAATTAAATTGGATCCAGATAAAAAAATTTTAAATCAGTAATTTTTTAAATACTAGCAATAACCAAGAGAAATTAAGATGTGGCTTTCAAATGTAGCCCTTTTTCTTCCAACCAAGAGCCTGAGTGCTTTTCTAGGAAGTGAGGACATTGCTACCGAGCACACATCCGAGGCTGGTGGTGGTCAGGTACCAGAGTTGTGAATAGTGCTGGATCTCTCCTTTCAGAGACCTAGTGTGGTGGGTATGAGCAGAACCAGAAGACAAGATTACAACATTCAACAGGCAGGGGCTTCCTCTGAAGGCAGGACCAGTCATGTTCACATCAGGGTAGAGGGATGGACCTGTGTGCTCACATGGGGTTAGGCTCTTCCCTGGAATCTGAGAGCTCCCAAAGTAAAACACATTAAAAAAAAAGAAAGCCCTATCTGGATATCTTGTTTTTTAAAAAGTGAAAATGAACACCAAAAATACAGCCACAGCAGTATTTAAATTTCAAAATACACAAAAATGGCAAATTTCCAGTCCTGTCCTTGGTTCAGCAATTTTTCAGGCCCCCAATAAATGTTTTCTAACCTTGTCTGAGATATCTCATCTAATCTAATTCTTATCTTCTCGAGCCTCAACTCTCTTCCCTTTCTTCTCCACTGTCTCAGAGACATAAATCAGAGCCCAGAAATCTCTCCCCTCCAGGTTACCTGACTCTGCCCCTCTAGCCTCCTCCTCCACCCCTCCACACTGCCCAGCAGGAAGGGGAGGATGCCAGAGGCCACCCCCTGAGCACTGACGCCCTACTGCAAAGGTGGAAAGAAAAAACTGATGTCTGATATTTATATGACTGTAGAAGAGGAAATCCCCTGAAAAGATTTTGTTTCTTACGCCTTTGAGGTATGAAGGTTGGCCCAGAAGATAACCACAGTAATTAGGGGTACACCTCTCACCTTGAAACCAGATGACAGTTGCAGGCAGACAGAACTAATTGGTAAGGAAATCAGAAGAGACTCTATTAATCTTGTCACAAACTTCATTACTGTTGATTCCAATCACACAAGAACGGTCCCACAGCCATGAAAGTCGAGTCGTCTCTGCAGTAAATTGTGATGCTGTTCTTAACTTGTTTAGTTAGGCAGCAGGGTGGAGAAAGCTAGATCAGAACCAGAGTCAGCATTCAGGGCAAAGTACTTATCAGTGGAACAAGACTGCTGCCCCCAATACCTAGATACACACACACACTTGCACATGCTCAAACGCAAATCCATTATCTCTTGGAGGTTGAAGTAATAATGGTTAAGACTCTCAAGGACACATGTGGAAGATACGAATGAGGCCTTTGTATGTGATATTCTATGATACCCATCTCTGGAAGTTTTAGGTCTGGTGGTAGAAGGGTTTATGCCCACTTTAAGCATGGTTCAGTTGGAGAGGTAGGTTTTTAAAAGTTATTTAACAACTAACATATGCAAAGGATTATCTATTTGCTAAAAGAAATAGATACCATACCCAATCTCAAACCCTACACTATTAGTATGAAAGCACACGCATATGTATTAGGTTGTGAATTGACAAGGCAATTTCCTAATAATTGCAAATTATAGCACAGGCTAATTAAAAGCACTGAGGTCAAATAAACAGAGGTTAGGAGCACTTAAAGGAGCATTTTGGAAAAAAGAAACATTTGAAGATGAAAGTCTTTCAGACATGGTCTGGATCTTAAAGGTTCAAAAGACATAGATTAGCAAAATGGAAGAAGAAAAGGTTCTATAGGTAGAGAACACAAGTGATAAGGGTCTAGATTAGAGTAGTTCAAATGGGCCACACCCAAGAAGCAGAAAAGAATGAATCAGAGTGTTGGAGAATGACTTAATGTCAATGGTAAAAATGGAGGAGGTGGAATAGAGTAAGGAAATCTCTCTGTCCTTGAGAAGTACATATTCTAATATGGGACACAAAACTGAGAAATGAGATAGATTTTTAAACAGTTTAAAGAAAGAAAGAAAGAAAGAAACCTACAAGCAGATGATATGTGTAGTTCCTAACTTCCCCTATAGTGGGGGCAGGACTGCACTGTTACTCCCACTCTCCCACCTTCATGACCTAGCAGGAAGTATTTAGGGACGGACCACTTTGATTAGCATTTCCAAGAGGAGACCAAGGTGAGCATGCTTCTTATATAGAACCGTAACTCAAAGTTCCTTGCTGCATGGAGAATCACACCTTAAGAAATGGACCGAGCCAGACCTGAGTGCTTCTCTCCAGTGTGAGTTCGCTGGTGGTGATTAAAAGTGGAACGCTGACTGAAGGCTTTCCCACACTCAATACACTCATAGGGTTTCTCTCCAGTGTGAACTCTCTGATGCACAGTGAGTTGTGAGCTGTCACGAAAGGCTTTGCCACAATCTTTGCATTTATAGGGTTTCTCTCCAGTATGGGTTCTCTGATGTACCATAAGGCTAGAATTATGACTGAAGACCTTCCCACACACATTACATTCATAAGGTTTCTCACCAGTGTGAATTCTCTGGTGTATAATGAGGTATGAGTTTTGATTGAAGGATTTTCCACACTCATTGCATTTATAAGGCTTTTCACCAGTGTGAAGTCTCTGATGTCGAATGAGACATTTACTCAGACTGAATGCCTTACCACACTCATTACATTCAAAAGGTTTTTCTCCAGTATGAATTCGCTCATGGTCAGCAAGTTGAGAGATCTGATTGAAGGCTTTCCCACACTCACTGCATTTGTATGGTTTTTCCCCAGTGTGGAGGCTCTGATGTCGAATAAGACATTTACTCCGACTAAAGGCCTTGCCACATTCATTACACTCATAAGGCTTCTCCCCGGTGTGGATTCTCTGATGGTCAATAAGATTTCTGTTAGAACAGAAAGCTTTCCCACACTCATTACACTTGTAAGGTTTCTCACCAGTGTGAAGTACCTGATGTCGGACAAGGCTTTTATTCCGACTAAAGACTGCTCCACACTCATTGCATCCATATGGTTTCTCCCCAGTATGGGTTCTTTGATGGTCAAAGAGTTTAGAACTTTCATTGAAAGCTTTTCCACATTCGTTACATTTATATGGTTTCTCCCCAGTGTGGAGTCTCTGGTGCTGAATGAGATGGGAGCTGTGACGATACGTCTTTCCACAAGCACTACATTCATAGGGCTTTTCCCCTGTGTGGATTCTCAGATGAACTATGAGCTGAGAAGTCTGCCTGAAGGTCTTGCCACACTCATTACACTCATAGGGTTTCTCTCCAGTGTGGATTCTCTGATGCCCGATGAGGTGTGAACTCCAATTAAAAGCTTTGCCGCATTCATCACATCGATAGAATTTCTGTCCCTTCAGAACTTCTTGATCTTCTGCAGGACTGGAGGACAGATCTGGATGGTCCCCAAGATCCTTATATTCATCACATCCATCTTTTGTGGATTTTTTTCATCCTGCTGTGTTATTTCCAAGAAATCACTTTCCAGTCTGCTCCCTCCTTCATCAGAGGGTTGTGTTCCTAACTTCTCTAAAGCGTCTTCACAGGCATCTCCAGCTCCTGGTCCTCCAGGAAGTACTCCATACAGTACTCCTGAGGTCCTATCAGGTGACTCTGATCCTTTAGAAATCGCCTGCTTTGGAGGCAACTCTGAACTCTCCATCCTTTTCTCACCTGCTGCCAAAAGAAAAGAGAAAACACCTTTTACTCATTTCTTGTCCTAGTGAGGAAAGGTAATCTCTAGGAGTCTATGTATCTGAAAAAAATTTCACATTATGAAATAAGGAATGAGGAGAAACATTGAGAACAGAAGAGAAAATGTGAAATAGCTCAAATTTCCCTTCATGCACAGAAAGACAAAGAGGGGAAGCTAGTCAGTAGAGAAGGTAGCAGAAGAGCTATCAGGACAGACATATGTTGAGCCAGCATGGCGAAGTGAGCAGATCAACTGGAAGGCAAGAGACCAGACTGTAAAGCATGTTGTAATTTTCCAGAAGTTGTGATGTGACCTTAGTAAAATCATGAACTTTATAAGGTCCCTTCCAACCATGACATCATATGGTTCCACAGTTCTCAGCAAAGATGCTGGGGAGACATAGGGGTGGCAAATAACTCAAACCAAATAGTGCGGGCAAGTATAATTAGGAGAAAGTGTAAAAAAAGAGGTGTTTCTAGTTTTACAGAATAGTGACAATATTTGGAGAAGCCATGGGTTCAGAAATGCTGGAGGAAGTACTGCAGGGGACAGCAGAGGTCTAAAGTGGGGATCACCTAGTCCCTGGAGCACTGGATTGGCAGGTGCCAGCACTGCATTCCTATAAAAATTAACAAAGGCAGTAATATTACATATGAATCAAAGTCAAAATATGTTTTTTGTATTTTGATCATCTGGAATCATAACGAGACTGAACAGCTAAGTATATGTTTTTGAATCCTGGAATTTTTTAATACAAAAGTTGGGAGAAGGCAGAGAAATCATGGTCATACCTGAACACAAAAATACTGGTTCCTTTCAATCACATCTTAACCAAGGCCACAAGCCATCATACTATTCTAGCATACTGAAAGTTAACTAGCACAACACTGTAAATCAACTATACTTTAATTAAAAGAAAAAAGAAAGTTAAATATATCTGGCTCTTTGATTCATACTTCCACCCTCTCCAGAGAAGGCTACTGTCCTAGACTTGTCAATCCCAGAACCTGCCCTGGCAGGAAGCCGG